CGAGGCACACAGAGCGGCCATCGGTGCGAAGGCCCGGCCGACAACGTCGCCCACGAGCGCTGCCCTCAGCTGGCCGCTCTGGAGTCGCTGCTCCACCGCCGCGAGAGACGCACGGGCCGCATGCACCGCGTGCATCGCAGCGCGATGCTCGAGGGAGCCGGCATCCTCCGCCTCTCGTCGGGGCAAGCAGGGCTGCATGGCGTGTTGCGAAACAGCCGGGGCTATGACGCAGCGGGAGAGGCGAGTGATGCTGGAATGAATGAAGAAAAACGCGCGCACTCATACCGCGTTGGTGTCCCTGGCTGTTCTTCACCTTTATATATAAAATGAATTCTTCACCTTTCTACCCTCTAACACTCACACATCATTAGAAACAGTCCTCCTCCGGGAATGTACGTAAGAGCCACATACATCCTGAGAGAGACGTACATCCTACATTGAGAAAGAGAGCAGTCGCTAAAAGTGCACATCATTTGGGGTTGGTCTGTCATCAACATCGTTGAGGACGGACGTACGTTCGCTGCGGCGAAGCGCGAAGCCCCTCCCTGCCTGGGGTGCGCCCCGCGTCCGCGTCTGACTGCGGGGGGTGCCCGCGCGCGGCAGCGCATGGGCCCACACAATCCCTCACCTGATCCCACCCCCAAGCATGCTGCTCATGCCGCCACATTACATCTCAATGTACCGTTCACCATGCACTCTGACTCGCACAGGTCTGGCGCCGAGGATGATGAACCCCAAGGAAGCCCCGCTCTACAAGGGCTTCTTCAAGATCTTCTCCTTCTTCCTGCTGGCGATGGTCGGCGGATTCCTCGGCGGGGAGCTCCGTGCCCTCAAAGCAGACGCGCTGACCTCGTCGGTGCCTCCCCCCGCTCCGCCACACAAAGGCCCTGATGCCTGCTCTGGCGTTCCCCGAGAGCAGCCCGCCTCAGAAGCTGGCCATCCTGCGTGCGCATGATCGGCGTGCGCGAGCCTTGTCGCAAATCAGACACGCCCCCCCCCCCCCCCCTTATGTCTCCATGCTCAAAGTGGCTGCCACTGCACGTGCTGGGCAGAACTCGGCCTTGGCGCTGCTTGCGCCCGCCGCTTTATCGCACCATTGCCCTGGGGGAGGGCAGATCCCTGATGAATTCTGAAGT